TGGACCTTTTTTTAGCAAACTCATAGCTTCATCCGTTCGTCGAGGCCAAGAAATTCGCCCCTCCCCATGATCATGTACACGAGCAGACCGTTCGGGAGGAATATCTGTTGGGGCAAACAGATAATATCAGGAAAAGAGGCACCCAACTCTTGCCAGTCGGGCTTCAAAGCATTATCAACTGCATAAAGACACTTTTTTCAGTAACTTTCCACAATAGCCTCTTAAGACCCTTTTTCACATTCACGTAAAATTGCCCGATCAGTGTGGATAAAATTCGGTAAGTCCGATGCGTCATGGGATGGTTGGACGTCATCTTCTGCCCTCTTTTAGGCATCGGGTCGAACAGGCTATTGACTCTGCCTGACGTTTTGCCCTAAACGACCAAGTTCGCTCTTTGGCTGCGCGATTTTTGCACACTTTCACAGGCATAGATACGCTATGAGGGTCTGTGTTTAACCTGAATTTCGAGATATCTCATTTAGTATAAATGTGTGCAAGAAAGAGATCCGGAATCAGCATTCTAGACGGGATTTGAACTTCGGACACGAGGATTCGAACGCAATCAGGCTCCTGCCCTTGTAAATCAAGACCGTCAAGAAAGTTATCCCGGAGAGGTGAGCAGTGAAACTTGATAATCCTTTGCTGAAAATTGATGGAAGTATTACTGAGAGGCGAGAAGACAACTTTAGTGAGTCTGTACTATAGTGAAACTTTGAAGAAGTAAGAGAAAAGGCATAAATACAAAAATGTAAATGGGTTTATATTAACTTGGGACAGCATCGTGACAGTGAATTTAGCGCAAAAGTGCTTACTGAAGAAATATTTAGGGCGATCTCATATCCACCTTCGATTATATATTAATACATACAAACATACTTACCAACCCACATACAGACATGTATACATATAATTGTATATATATTTTTTTTTTATTTAGTATTTTCCCTTTACTTTAAATATGATTCGTCCTGTGTTAGTTAATTTGAGCAATCACTAATGGTTTCGTTTATTACATACAAATGAAGGCACAGAATCACACAGAAACAGGCATGCACACATACCTACGGATTAACATATAACATGAATTGACTAAATTCATTTCTGACTTATCAAAATGCATAGAATAATTGTATATATATATACAGTATTTATGGGTAAGCCAGTGAATTTTCTTCATTCACTAGCTTGAATATGGATGTAAGCATGTTACTCTGTTCTGGGGATATCTAACATATGAAGGACGGAGAGTTACGCACGTTTTCATCAGAATCGAAGGTGATTGTCTCGAGAACAACCCCGGCAAGAATTTTATCGTAAAGTCAATCGACAGTTGACCAAGAGGAATCCTCCGTCGTCTTGTGGCGAAAGCAAGCTTCGAACATCCTCACCAAACACACCCCAAATGGGAGCAAGCTCAACAATTAGTAACAAAGAGGTCCCACGAATCCCTACTTTTCTTCAAATAAAACTTTGCTTAATTACAACAGAGCATAACGTCAGCTCAGGACCATCAGCGACTTAATAAAGCTGACCCAAGTGATTGGTCAAATGAGAACTGTTCCTTAATTCACATTCCTTTAACACGTCTGCTAAGAAAATCAAATAGACCAGACATAAGTTTGATTTTATGCTATTTCAGCTATGCTCTTGCTTAAGTTAGTAAGCATTTCTGAGCTTCTACTGATATTGCACTTTGTTTTAATTACTCTGAATTATTGTCGGTGGTTTTGTTTTCTGGATTGCCCACACTCTAAAGGAACTAGACCACCCTCAAACATCAAAATCACTTGAGATGAATTCACACTGTTACAATTAAGGTGTTAAAGGATTGATTGTTTAAATGCTATTAGAAGACCTTAAGTTTTCATTAAATTGTACATAGCATTGCTTCCAAACTTGCATTCTCATCCAAGGTGGACTTCAGTTTCGTTATTGCTTAAGCCTCATTAGAGACCCTGGCGGGACTTGAACCCGGGTCGCCGTATTGCAGCTTTAAATCTCGACATGTTAACCACTATATTAAATTGCCACGAGTACCTTCTATTCACGTGACATATGTGAATTTCGAGGAAGATCACATCGCATTCCGTTTTTGGATTGTCGAAGAAATAAAGTTATATTTGCTATAACAATTGACTAGCCTATTTATTTTTCTTTTATAAGTAGGCTTTCAAAACTACCAGTAGATCATATACATGAGATGTATTCACCCAATTATTTAAGATGATGAATGATTGGTATATGAATTTTACCACAACTTTGCTTTATCCACAATTCAAGCACATAATGTGATATGAAAAAATGCATTACCTTGCTTGAAATTCACATCTGCCCTCTGACCCAATGGCACTCGTGGATATGTGGCATAGTGCTTAACCTGCCGACGCCACACCACAACGACCCGAGTTTGAGTTCTTCCGGGGGTGTTGATAAGACCTATGCGAGATCGAAAGTGCAGTCTACTCCTGCCTGGATGGAAATACCTTTTGGGTAGCAAGCCTATGTGAAATTCCATGGAAATGTAAGGTCTACTAATATCATTGTGGAAAAATTCAACTACCAGTCCTTCATCACCTCGACGAAATAGGGTGAATACATCTCATATTGCTGATTTACCGGTAGTCACGAAAACAATACTTTATTCGAAAAATACTATATACTAGTAGACTCGAAAACCAGTTTATAAAAGAAACATAAAGTTACTTAACTAAGCAACGAAGACCACAATGTTGTGACCTCTATTTTGGTCGCAATCTCCTTTCGATGTATAGATGTGATATTACCTCCTTTTCACAACTTTGTCGTGTTTTCAGGGTGACCTTGTTGGACGCACCTTGTCCGAGTCCTCTGCTGCAGCAGTTCGGCGCTTAGAAATATGATAGCTACTGAAGCAGATCATTTCGGACAAGGCACGTCCAACTAAGTCGCTTGACAACACAACCAAGTTCTGAAAATGAGGACAGATCACATCTACTTAAATAAGAGTTCCAAAATTTACCAAAGGTTTGGTAAACCGTATTTCTTTAAATATAAAAGTGCCTAATTTGGCATTATATCTACTAACTAAACCATTCTTCATCTATCTATGGACATCTAAATATTTTTAACTCCTTTTTACTGGTGAGCATTTTGTGTTGATTTGGTGGTTTTATTAAAATAAAGTCCGTCCCTAATGAGGTCTGACAACTTCCATTACTGAGGAAAGCTTAATCCGTTTTACCTGATCCGAAGGAGTATGCCTCGTTAACTGCAGAAACCTAAACGTCATAATTAGAAGTCATCAATCGTCTTCTCGTGAGATCGATTCATGGATATCTTCATATTAGAAGTTATATGAAATATAAACATAGCTTAAATAGGAACTTAAGTCGGCCTTCATCGTTTAGGCTAGTGTCTGATAATAAAATTTTTCCAGATTTAATGATCTCATTGACATTTGCGGAGGGGTTTCTCTGCTCAACTTCGACATATTCTAGTCGCCAACAGTGCTTGGATCCTGTGTTTCAAACGGCAGCATTGCAACTCCGCCACCAGCCACTAGAGGCTAGATCACAGGTCAGATACAACATTCGATGTGGGTCAAGCCTCATCCAGTTCACATAGTAAAAGTCTAACCAATGGGGTACACGATACATTTATCTAGGCTAGAGTGATAGCTAGTCTCTCCACGAACAAATGCCCAAGTTGCTTTACTTTCGCACGGAATATCATTTTATCATGCATTCTTCAAAACCATTCTCTTCCATCACAGATTACAGTTGTGACCTTGCCTCCTCTACACATCACCATCTCCAGCGGGACTCGAATCATCAACGTGCATGCCACGCGACCCACAAAGTGGAGTCAAGTGAATATTGCTTGCTGTGCCTTAAAAAGCATTCTAGCTTGACAACAAACAGTGGCCTGGCAGGCTAAACATTTACCCCCAAGGTTCGAATCCCACTGGGGGCGGTGATGAGATGAAGATGCGAGCTCGAGGCTGCAGTCTTTTAGACATAAAAACACCATTTTAGGATGCATGCTAGATTCAAATTCAAGGTATAAATTAGACCTTCCCCTTTATTCATCATTGGCAGAGTCGCTATCACTTCAGCCGAGCCGGGTAAACGTCTTCCATTTACTCTGCCGGACCCGCCACTGAAGGACCCGAAGATCGGCCTCGACCTGAAAAACCTAATTTGCTCAGAGTGACAAAATAGTACAATTGTTATCCTTCTGACCCATACAAGCATGTATGAATGGAAGCGTACATGTGTTCGCCCATGTACATGACATACTTCCCGGTGTAAGGTTGAGCAATTACACTTTTATAGTTCCACTCGGGCCACCTTGTGGGGTTTGGGAGACAGAAAAAAACGTTACACTTATGTGCATGTACAGCTGTCGAGCTAATCTCAATCTGATATACTCCGGAGTATGTATAAGTCTTACCCCCTGATTTTATTGCAGAGCAATTTAGGCAAGCTGGGCTCTTTTTGTGAAAACATACACACACATATACACATTGACACATTCACGTGTTCAAATTGTCTCGTGGATTTGTAGATTAGCATTCATGTGCCCAGGCTCGTCTGCTCACACTCGGGCAGACGAACTCGCATGGGGGGATGCAAACACAGATATCTCGGACGAACGGTAAGAACGAGTTTAGGCCTGAAGGCTTAAACACTTGACCAGTTAACCGGTCGTGTGGGCGCCCTAAAGGATGGGCGTCAGGAGGGCAGATCTGCGAGTTTCGCAACCACTTTTCTGCGATGGAATTGAAGTGAAAGTGGCTATTCGACAATCCTTTGGGTCCACAGGCGTCGAGCCGTCAGGTGTGGAGAGGCAGTCTGCTGCGAGGCTCCGAAACCGACGATTTAGCCCATGCCGCTGAGGAAATTGAGCAGGACATTTTGTTACATACATTTTTCCATAATGTACCCCATTCTCGGAAAGGGGTGGAGAAAGGGTACAGCAGCCTGGAGCTCTGGTTCGACCATCTGGCCCTCAAGGCAGGGGTAAAATCCCGTTGCACGTCCAGCATACAGAGGCAATGATGTGGAAAAAAGTATTCCAAAGTGACCAACCCATCGAATCGACACCACAATCCTCTTCGCGTACGAAGATTGCCCGAACTATTCGGCAAGCTCCGAAGACCTGTTTAGTCCGATACGACAAATCTTTTATAATAGCAATGTTATGGAGACTTTTATTTTGTATGAAAGTGAATAACGAAGAAATGAGTTGGTTCATGTTACCGGAAGACGACTGTTGATTTCCGTTGTTTGCAGCGGTTTGGCTTTAATAGGACGTTCAGCTCTACGCAGCCCACGAGACATCCTCCCTCGGGTGAAATTTCATCCATCATGTGATGGGCGTCAACAGGGCCGGAACTCATTCTTACAAAACCTCAAGTTAACATAAAGTCAACAAGACTGATCTGCTCGAGCATATATGTTGTATAAACTTATAATAAATAAAAGAAAAAAATATATAGATAGATAAATATCTAAATAGATCAGGCAGGAAGATCGATCGATAAATGGATTGATGGATAAATAAATAAATAAATAAATATATATATATATATATATATATATATATAGAGAGAGAGAGAGAGAGAG